TTCAGTTTTACCCTATTGGTCTAGATTCCACATATGTTTTCCCTCGACAGCAGGTTTTTTACAGTATTTTGTTTTCTTCCCTCTTTCCAACGTTGCCCAAAGGATTAGATGTCGCTCGTGAAGACTATTTCGTTCATTCTTCTGTTGTCTGCGGTGATGCTGGAGGGAGCTCGTGGACGATGGGATCCCCAAGAAGGTATTTTAACAAATGCTAGAACTGATTGTAAAATTGAGGAGTCTCCCGATCAAATTACTCATCCTTTCTCACTAAGAATTGTTTACAAGAAGACACAAGAGTTCTATTGAGAAAGGAGAGGGACAGATTTAAAAATTACATGAGCGAAGCAAATTAAAAGAAAAGTATTCGAAGAGATGTGCAGCATATAAGTTTATATTTAGGAAGTTCTACCCCTATTGGTGTTTCAACAGGTGAATTCGATGACGCAGTATTGGAAGGTCGTCAACTGCCGCCCTGCGGACGACAAAATCCGGAAGACTTTTGTATGAATTTTCCATGTGGGGACTACCCCGGTGTTGGATCTTGCCCTTATCCGGATCAGAATTGTTGTCGCAAGGGTACTTAGGTAAGTTTTAAATCTATTAATATTAATATATTTTTCTTTCAAAGACCCTTTGTTTTTCACAGAAAGCCTGGCTGTAATGTTAAACCAACTGTTAGCAGAAGATCTGATAAGACGTTTAACGAGAAAAACATTTGATTATGAAACTAACTTTTAAGAATCGTAGTTACTCAAATAAGCACGTACTTGAATGAGCGCCGCACATGACAGCAAACGTTTAAATAACCGTCCTTGACTGAAGCGCCGAACACTTCTACTTGACAGCGCAACCGTGAGTCAAAGAGGCTTAGACGCCCATAAAGCTACTTCACTCCGATTTAATACAAAACTAAGGGCTGTTATATTGGGTTCACAAACGTTTGATGACGAGTTTTAAGTTGAAAGCAGTAAAACGCTGGCAGAATTTTTCGTCCTACCAGAAATGTACTAGCATCATTTCGTTAACCCACTTCTCTCTCCCTTCGCTTCTTTCTCTTCGTTTTAAGCACAAGAGCACAAGGAGACAAGAAAGCAAGAGCATGTTTTCGAATGATATCATTAATTACTTAGAATGATTGATTATTTCTTGTTTTTTATCTGCAGTGACAACGGCAACTACCCGTCAACGACGTTAACAGTACCGAATGAAATAAGTCATTGGGACAAGAGCTGTCTTTGTCGGGTTAAAATACTGCAGTTTTTGCGGCAATAAAAATAATAATGAAAAAAATGGAGAAATCACTGACGTTGTGTGTTTGTTTTCTTTCATCTACAGGGCCAGTATTCTAACATAGAAGGGATGGAATGAAATGCTCTCTGAATCGTTATAAAATATGACTCTTGNGAGTTTTAAGCTGAAAGCAGTAAAACGCTGGCAGAATTTTTCGTCCTTCCAGAAATGTACTAGCATCATTTCGTTAACCCCCTTCTCTCTCCATTCGCGTCTTTCTCTTCGTTTTAAGCGCAAGAGCGCAAGGAGACAAGAAAGCAAGAGCATGTTTTCGAATGATATCATTAATTACTTAGAATGATTTATTATTTCCTTTTTTATCTCCAGTGACAACGGCAACTACCCGTCAACGATGTTAACAGTACCGAATGAAATAAGTCATTGGGACGAGAGCTGTCTTTGTCGGGTTACAATACTGCAGTTTTTGCAGCAATAAAAATAATAATGAAAAAAATGGAGAAATCACTGGCGTTGTGTGTTTGTTTTCTTTCATCTACAGGGCCAGTATTCTAACATAGAAGGGATGGAATGAAATGCTCTCTGAATCATTATAAAATATGGCTCTTGGAATTAAGTGAACGTGACAACGCTAACGCCAAACGCAGGAAAACGTGTGCGATAGAGTTACGATTGGTTTTGGTTCTACTCATGATTTGTAGAAAAAGTGGCGCTAGTGTTATAAGCCAATCGTGTGGCGTAGTTGACGCAAAACCAATTACATTTTGACACTCAAATGAAAACCGTTCTTATATGGATGGACAGATAATTCATTCTTCTTTT